TCGGAAGGCACTCAACATGTAGCTTAGGAAGAGCCACCTCTGCAAAATAGAATCACCTGAAACGAGGTACGCGGAGGAAAGTTTTTGAAACTCCCATTTGTTGATGTCGCATGCCTCAAAATGAGAATAAACAGCTGCAAACATCCATCAATAGTCAAAACATGGAATACAGGAAGAATGATTATTGGAAAATTGGAAGTTGTCTAAAGTGAAATGTAACTCATAGAGATTAATATTCTTAATATCAGTGAGCTGTAATGGACTGGTATTGGCATGTCAAATTAGAAAATGATATGGTTTCCTTCACTAGAAATGATAAATCCAAGAAGAGTGGCCTTGGATTCATCATCAAAAAGACGATTTCAAGATCTATCTTGAAGTACAATGCTGTCTGTGATAGGATAATATCAATATGCCTACAAGAAAACTGTTAATACAATTATTATTCATCAACCATTAAAGTTAGTTGTGATAGTTACATATTATGTCAACCTGGCTGAGGCAGGATTCTCAGTGGTTTGATAATTGAGGCTAAACCCCCTGATGTGACCTAACATAATGTAATCAACCCCATGATAGGCTCTTCCGTGAGCAGCCAAGCAGTTATGGAAAAAATGAAGGAAAGTGCAACTCCTTGTTCCAGTCACATCCTTTATGAAATTGAAAGGAAGCTTCTTCTGGGGTGTGGCCTGATTCCTATATAAGTGGATGCTGTGGGGGAACTTGTTTACTTTTTTCTGGGTCTGGATCCTGCTTCTGACTCATCAACCTCACCATCTTTGAACTTGAGCTAATGGCCTGTCCTGTTGCCTGACAATCCTTGGAGCCATCAGATACCTGCCATCTGACCGGTTGACCTTGAATTCCTCCATCTCTGAAGCCTGTGGTGTTCCTGCTGATCATCAGCCTCCAAAGCGACTCAAATTAGGAGAGCCTCTAGGTTAACACTTGACCCATGGACTGGACTTGAAACCAGAGTGTGTGAGTCATTTGCTTGACATAATTTTGATAGATAGATACACAGATAGCACGACTTTTACTTCTTTAGAGAACCCAGTCTAACACACAAATGATGAAGTGAGTGGAGAATTTTAGCAACTTCTTCAGTCTAAAGTTGATCAAACATGTAATCAAGATGCATTGACAGTTACTAGTGACTGGAATGCTGAAGTTCGAAACAAAGAGGAAGGAAGAGTGGTCAGAAAATACAGCCTTGATGATAAAAACAAAGCTGGATGTCAAAAGATAATTTTGCAAGATCAACAACTTGTTCACTGCAAATACCTTTTTTTTTAAAAAAAATCATTAACTTCTTCCATTGAGAGCAACTAACAACATATTAGTATGTCACAATTAATGAACCAACATTGATAACATTATTATTCACTTCAGCCAGTTGCTGTCAAGCCTAATATATGTTCAATAGAACGGTGCTCTATAGAGCTGATTTTTTTTCAAAAAGTGTGTTAATCTGGGTTGACTAGAAAAACAAATTCATAGACATTCATATGCTCATAAGAAACAGCTTTATATACAAGAGCAATTGAATATTGAGAAAACATCCCAGCCCAGTCCAGATCAAGTCCATAAATCCTATATTAGCCCATATGTCTGATACCAACCTATAAAGTCCTCTTCAGACTCACGAAACACATGCAATGTCATCGAATACAGGAACATCACAGGCCAGTGGGTGGGGAATCTTATGGATCAGTGGCATTGTAAGCATCTCAGCGCTGGCAGGGGTCCCGACGTGGTTCTTCCGGCTCAGGGCACTAACAGTATTTACAATACACTTTCAGCTGATGTAGAATAAACCACATACTGAGAAGATTGAACTTACATGTCAAGAGTGGGTTGGGATTAAAAATAAAACAAATCATGCAGGTCAATAGTTGAGATTATAAGTTTGTTCACCCATTTATGTTGGCAGGTTCTAAAGTGCAACATCTCTAATCATTAAGCTTCCACCAACCAGGTTTTAAGATATTCCATTGATTATGGCCTTTTAGTCAATGTAACAGGGATTTAACCTTTCTGTTAAAAAAAGGAAGTCTAAAAGGGACCAATGCCCACTTAACTAAACCTTACTTGGTTTATTAAAACATGCCTATATTAGTTTAGTTTTCTTATTTGGATGGAGAGGTTTTGAGCAGTGGTAAGATTTTTTTTCACTCAGGGAATTTTGCAAATAAACAGTTTATTTATATGATTCTATAGGCATAGCTTTTGACACCTTTTTAAAGTTGTCCAGTTAATTACTGGGTCATTTATTTAATTTGAAAATTTATGGCTCATCCCCCCCCCTTTATTTGAGGTGATCTATTTCTTGAGTTGCTCGGAAGATTAGCATCCTTGAGACAACAGCAAGCATCTCATGGCTGTTAAAGGCCATTTTTGTTTAGAATCGTTTTGCTTTTGGTGAATTTAAAATAAAGTAAAATAAAATAAAATGTACACACACATACACATACACAAACAAAGAACACCCCCCCCCCAAAAAAAAAAACCCAGAATGGTCTTTAGGTTTGCTTTATAGGTTAAACACAAGTTCTGATTAAGTAATGACTAAGTAAAATTTCCCCAAATTTAGAAAAGCTATTCTCTAATTCAGAGGAAATAATATACCATGGTACCAAATGTTCTTTTCTGATAAATGAAGCAACAATAGAAAGCTTTAATTGTTAATTAAATTTAATCAATTAAAAGTGACCAGTGTTCTTGATGCCACAATAACAAAAACCGACAAAATGACCCCGACGACTCCCCTCCTCCCACTTCAAACAAACACACCACACTCGATTCCATTAGAATGTAGCTACTTTCACAAGTAAAAAGATAAACAATATATGCTCACATATATATATGCATACATGCATACATACACAGACACACATATATGGCAATGCCAACAATTATTGGGCTTCATCTTCTGAACAAGAAGGCCAAGTTAGTTTCTCTTCATAAAACACACTTGCACTGTGAGGACATTGCACTAAGTGTGTCTCATCGGAATCTTTTTATTCATGAGGCGCCGGCACCCTCCCTGCTGACTGTGGCACCAATGATTTGCTCAGGATCAAGACCTCCAGCAAAGCCCTTTGGTTTGTCCACGTCACCTCTTTTTCATTTTTAAAAAAATTTGTTGTCATCAGATTCACTGTCATATAAAGACGTTCTTTGTGTACCATCCTTTTCTTTTTGAACTGTTTGGGAACTCAGAAATGCTTCAATTAATTCTGGCTAATCTGAATTTTCTTCAGGCTCCCAAATAGTATCAGCATCTGTAAATCCATTTCATTTTTAGGAAATATTCCAATGTCCCATTCACTGCACATTGGTCCAGCATTTTTTCTACCTCAAATTCTTCAGGTTTGTCCTCTACAGCTTTTTTACTCTCTCATTCTGGTTCTTTTCCATTATTGTGATGTAGTTTTATTGGAGGCTATTTTTATTGCAGACTCGAAGAGCAATTATCCACCACCTCTGAGCTGCTCCAGGTCCCAGGCCTGCGGTGCCTCTGGCCCTGTGCACTTCTAGCTGAGCCACATCGGAGGAGAAAGAGGAGGAGAAGGATGGGAAGTGTGGTTTCTGGTTTTAGGAACCCATCTTTCCTGATGATGCAGTCAAAGTAAGTAAGAGGAAGTCTAGCCATTGCTGAATATATGCTAGACAAGTTGAAGTGATGTCATCGCGTGACTAGAAATCAAGTGGACAAAGACTTAAAGCCTGATCACTAAGATCACTTCTATTCACTCTCATACTGGAAGTTGTAGAGAATTGGGCAAGAATAATACAACTATTCAAATTGAAAAGGAAGGAATAAGACTATCTGTAGTTACAGATGACATAATGGTACATATGGGAACCCAGAAAAATCCACTAAAAAATGAGTAATCTATCAGAGTTGCCTAATCCCAGATCAAACCACAAATCAATCTTATTTGTAAACATCAACAATCAACAATATGAAAAGGAAATTAAGAAAACATTTGGTGTGCAATAGCATACAAAATGATAAATATTTAGGAATAATTTAATCATAGAAAGGAAAACATACTTTGAAAACTAAAAAAAGGTTTGCTGAAAGAGATAAAAGAAGGCCTAAATCAATAGAGAGACAGTCTTTCTGTGTTCATGTATCAGTAGACTTATTAATGTTTAGAGATCAACACTACTCAGAGCAATTAACTATCAAATTGGCTAAAGTTTACACACAATAGGAAATTAGAGAAGAATTTGATAAAGCAGAAAGGGACCAACGCAAACCCAGAAATGCAAGGTTCAGGGACATCAGAGGAGAGGGCTGAGACAAGAAAGAAGCGACTGAGAACGCAGAGAAGGGGAGTGATGGAGGTCGTGGTAGAGAGGGCAGTGGGGGAAAGGCAGGTGGGAGGATAAACTTATTGTAGACGTAAGCCAGTAACGTTGGAAAGGCAGTTGCTTAGTATGACTCTCTTATTTTACAGATGTGACATTCAAGCTTGGGAATATTTCAGAATCACAGTTATTTTTGATGGTAGTAGGAAGAAATTGAGCCCCGGAGGGGGGTGGGGGTGGGAGGGTGGGTAGTAGATTAAGTCCCGGGCTGTCCACTGTAAGGTCGGCAGTTTGAATCCACCAGTAGCTCCTTGGGAGAAAGATGAGGCTTTCTGTTCCTGTAAGGGTTTACAACCTTGTTAACCCAGAGGGGCAGTTTTACTCTGTCCTACAGGGTCACATTGAGTTGAAATCAACTTGATGGCCATAGGTCTATTTTGGTTTAGAAGAAACTAGGAACTGGGCATGAAACTGGAAGCCAAGGAGGGCAGTAAGGAAAGTCTGCAGAACTTTGGAACTACAGGGGAACTGAGAAGCTGAGTGGGAGGCTCAGGATAGCAGGAGGCACAGCTTCTCTGTGGTAGACACTGGCTTAGGGAGAGATTGTCAGTTGGATTAGAAGTTTTGCTGAAATCAGAGATCGTATACTAGGCTTGGCCGTAATTTCATCTCCTAGGAAAATGCTGTTTCTGTTACTTTTATTGCTGACAGTGCTCTTCCAAGGTGGTGACCACATGGATGGTAAGAATAATTCTGGCAGCTCCCACTGGTGTTATGAGGAGGTTTGGGTAAAACAAGCTGTACTGACTCAAGTGCCGTTGGGCAGGAAGGGTTTGTGCAATTGTGTTTCCAGTCTCTTCAACCATTTCGGAGGTTGGGACTGGGCTCTGAAACACTGGGATAATTGTCTAAATATCTCAGGCTACAAGTGTTCTTCATTTCCTACCCCTACAATACCTCTGCTCTCTCACCTCTTTCTACTCTCCCTCCTCCTTACCATTCTTTCTGTGTACAGATTTCCAGGGCCCAACCTCCTTCTACGTCATCCAGATATCATCCTTTGCCAACAGCACCTGGACCAAAAATCAAGGCTCGGGCTGGTTGGATGATGTGCAGATTCATGGCTGGGAGAGTGACTCAGGTACCGCTATTTTTCTGAAGCCCTGGTCCAAGGGCAACTTCAGTGATCAGGACTTGGAGGTGGTGCTGGATGCATTTCGAGTCTACTTCATTGGATTTCCTCGGGAACTAAGGAATTACGCCAGAGAATTCCAGATGGAATGTGAGTTTGGTGGCCTTCTCAATTACTTTCTTTGGCTTCTTTGCTTGGCTGCATGGGATCTTATTCTTTCCCCTACTATACCTGGCTGTATGGACACATCTCTAAAGTAATCTCTGGTCCTGGCCCCGTAATCCCACACAATAGTTCAGATCACTGCTACCCCTGATCCCGTCTGTATTAGTCTTCTTTTTTCTAACTATCCTCTTCTTTGTTTAGTATGAGACCCACTTTTCTACTCGCCTTTAAAACCGTCACTGTCCCTATGCTGTGGAGGCGTGTCTTGGTGTTACTTCCTCCTCCAACACCTCTCTGCTACTGTCCATTCTCCTTCCCCTACTTTCAAAAGAATCCTCTTTAATTCTGGTTCCTTTATCCCTCTGCTCCTGTTGCGAGTCACCATACATTACACATCTCACCGATGACAGACACATCCCTCCCCAATATTTATCCCTCTGAAACCCTATAAAGTCTCTAAAAGCTTCATTGACTGTGGACTCATCATTTCATATCCTAAATATTTCTCCCCACCCCACCCCCAAAATACTATTTTAATTCTTCTTTACTTACTGTTTAATATATTTGTTTTATCCTTCTACTCAGATCCGTTGGAGTTCCAGAGCAGAGTAGGCTGTGAGCTGCGTCACGGAGAGGGTCCAGCAAGTTTCTTCAGGACAGCTCTAGGAGGACTGGATCTCCTGAGCATCCAGAATTATTCATGTACACCTGCTTCAGAGGGTGGCTGGAGGGCAAAGAAGTTTTGTGCAATAATCCTTCAGTACCAAGGGGTCCTGGAAATCATTGAGAAACTCCTCTATAGCTACTGCCCCCGATTTCTCTTGGGTGTTCTCGATGCAGGGAAATCTGATCTACAGAGACAAGGTTTGTCCTACTCTGTCCCCAAGATGTTTCTATGCCACCAGTTATTCCTTCAAACTCAATACAGAGTGTGAAAGAACCCCCAAAAGCCAGGGACTAAATGGATAAAACTATTTGGTTCCCAAAGGAATGAAAGAAGGTCCAAATAGTAGAGTCTAAGTCTCTGTGTTATGAAGTCCTAACTGGAACACATTTCCTATCCCAGAGAAGCCTGTGGCCTGGCTGTCCAGGGGACCCACTCCTGGTCCTGACCGTCTGCTGCTGGTGTGCCGCGTCTCTGGATTCTACCCGAAGCCTGTGTGGGTGACGTGGCTGAGGGGGGAGCAGGAGCAGCCTGGCTCTCGGCGAGGTGATGTCCTGCCCAATGCTGACGGGACCTGGTATCTCCGAGTCACCCTGGACGTGGCAGCTGGGGAGGCTGCTGGCCTGTCCTGCCGAGTGAAGCACAGCAGTCTCGGTGGCCAGGACATTGTCCTCTACTGGGGTGAGAAAGTGGGAGAGAACTGAGGCCCACTAGAGAGGGAAGGAGATGTTCCTAACTGAAGAGGGAGGAGCTGGGGAAGGGGTGGAGCTTAACAGGAAAGAGACAAATATGTGCTTGTATGTGTGGGTATGTAGATATTTGTGTGTGTGTGTATATATTTGTGTATATATATGTATGTATGAGAGAGATACACACAGCTGTAGATACATATACAGAGATAGAGATACAGATTGATTTATGGTACAAGCAGGCACTATTAAAAAAACCTATTATAGAAAAAAAAAAAAAAGAATAAGGGTTCCTTGGGGGTATGCTGGGGCAGGGAGTGGACGAAGGGGAGATGTACCAAGGAGTTCAAGAAGAAAGAAAATGTTTTGTAACTGATGTGGTAGCAATTGTACAATACTGCTTAATGTGATTGAATTATGGAATGTTATGATATCTGTAAGAGCTCCCAATGAAATGATTAAAAAAAAAGATACAGAATCGATAAGGGTGAAAACTCTATACAATGGGAGGCAGAATAAGAGGGAGAGATACAGGATAGATATCTAACCTCCTAGATAGTGGGGTTTAGAACCTCACCATACATGGGAAGCACATAGAGGGTGGTGCTGATATTCAGGTGGAAAACCAGAGAATGAGTATTGAAATGACATGCTTTTGCCCTCTTTCAATTACCAGAACATCCCATCTCCGTTGGCTTGATCTGTTTGGCAATCACAGTGCCATCCTTGCTCCTTTTCATAGGCCTTGCATTATGGTTTAGGAGGCACAGGTGGGTTTTAATTGGCTAACTATTTTTTTTCACCACTCTTACTCTTTTCTACTACATATTTAATCTTTAGCCTTACTTCTAGGGGGCCCTTTCTCCTTTCTGCTCAACTTGTTGGGGATTTTCCTCTGAAGTTTTATGTATTTGTCTTCCTAACAGGTCATATCAAGACATTCTCTGAGCCCTGATCATTCTACTTTTTTGGCTTCCAAGTTTGGAAGATGAAGCTGTCAGCCAGGGTCAAAACAGAATTTAACCATCAGCAGAAAAAAATATTTAAAAACCGTCAAAGTGTTATTCATCAGTACCAATATTATGGTACATCTGTATTTGAATCCATGTTCAAGTGTGATAGAGAATGTTCTCAGAATAAATGAAACACAACTGTGGCAAACACAACTTCATGGTGATGTCATTTACCTTTCAATTTTAAAACTTTTTGTTCCTGTTTAAGGATCATAGGTCAAAGTGGGTTAAATAAAATTGTGCAAGAAGAATTGTATTTTCAGAGAATTTGAGCCTTTGCAATGTAATTTCTGTCTTGCCTGGGCCAGTTGGGATGCCACTTCCTGTAGAAGGCCTTCTCCAGGACCGCCCATGGAAGCAGCTCTGCCGCTCTGGTCGGGAGCCATGCACCCACTTTACTTCATACGTGTGGCCTTGACTCTGGTTTCAGAATTCTTCTCTTTCTACCTTGGAAGTTCCTTGTGGGCAGTTGTATGTGGGTCCCTGGAAAGTTCTCTTACCTGTATCTTTAGTCGACATAACTGCAAGTTAATGTCTTGTTGTTTGTTGAGCTTTTCATTCCTTTCACTTGGCTCAGGAGTTGACAACATAGATCTCACCCTTCTATTTTCAAAGATTTCACCTTCAGTCAAAACCCACAATGCTCTCCTGCCTTCCAGGTTTCTGCCCTGAACCCCTCTGGAGAAAAACACCTTTGTCCTAATGACAACAAATTCCTAGCTACAAAGAATAGCTTGCCGAGACCCTTGATCCTTCTTTTCCAGTTAGAATGGGTGAGAGACACGGTGAGTAATGGGTGCGGCAAAGGTGGTACATTGCCCTCCAGGACATGGGGATCTGTGTTACGGCCATTCAGTTATATCTTTTAATTGTGTTCAATTTTTTTGCTTATCTCATAATATTTCTCTTAAAAATATCCAAACTCTTCTTTATTAAACCACAGATGAGGGAAGAATCTGAGTTTTCATAGCATGCGTGGACAGGAAGTCAGGACAAGCATAGATCTGGAAGAAGCCAGGGGTTCTAGAAACAGTGCTTTCTAGATGTTGTAAGTCATTCTGGTTTATCAGGCATGAAAAAAGTGAACAGAATCGAGAACATGGCGGAAAACATATCATTTTTTCCTGTATGAGTATAATTGGAGTTTTATCCAGTATGCATTCAACTCTACTACTCTTTATACTGCAGACATGAATGTTTAATGTCTTTTTTTGGCCCACTTTTTTCTATGCTCACTGTCTATAACTCTTCTAGTTTGAATTCTGGAGGAGGAAAACTATGATAATTATTGGATTCTACACTAGCCAGGATTGTTAAAATGTCTTGTAATTATTAATAAGGTTTAAAATCATAGAAGCCTGGCATTAAACAGTTAATGCCATCAACTTTAAAATTGTGATTTAGGTTGGAGTTTGCATATTGGAGCATCATTTTTGTATCTGATCACTTAAGCAAGTCATCAACCTTGCCAATAGTTTGCCTTCTTGCTGTCTCCCGTTTTTTGCCCACTTCCTTCTTGTAGGCTCTATCTTCCCTTTCACCAAGTTAACACATATTTGCACTCTACTCTGTTACTTTTCCTTCCCTGCTTTGCCTTCCACCCCCAGTAACCATCAAAATCCATTTCTTTTTCTATGGGAACCTTTATTACGTAGTTTTAAGTAATGGTATCATGCAATATTGGTCCTGTTGTGATTGATTAACTTCACTCAGCATAATGTTCTCCAAATACATGAATGTTGGGTGTGTTTCAGTTTCGTGATTATCCTTTATTGATGTACAGTGTTCCTTTGTGTGCATTAGCAAAGGAGCACTGGGTGGGGGGTAGTAGTTCTGAGCTGGACTGCATATCCTAAGCTCAGCAGTTCAAAAGCACCAGCTATTCTGAGGGAGAAAGATGAGGCTTTCAATTTACAGTCTCAGAATCCCACATAGGCAGTTCTAATCTCTCCTACGGGGTTACTGTGGGTCGGCATTGACTTGATGGCAGTGAGTTTGTTTTTGCATATGTACCAAAGTTTAGTATCCATTCTTCCATGTATGGGCATTTAGGTTGTTTCCATCATCTTTGTTGTTGTGAATATTAACACGGATGTGCATATACCTGCTTGTTCTTTATTCTTTGTTTCTTTACGGTACAAACCAATAGATGAATGACTGGGTATTAATAGTATGTCTATCTTTCTTTTTTAAAAAAGTCTTTTTATTGTGTATTATGTGAGGATTTACATTTAAATCGTTTTTGCATTCAAGTTAATCAAATCTCCCAATATCTTTCTCTGCCCCCACCTTCCTTTCTCTATTTCCTCTTGTGGAATCTGTGTCCTGAGGTGTGTGTTAGGCCCTGTTGACTAGAAAACAAATCTAGAGACACTCATATGTTTAAGAGAGAGCTTTATATCAAAAGTAATTGTATATCAAGTAAACAACCCAGCCCAGTCCAACGCAAGTCCCTAAGTCTGATAGTAGTCCATAAATCCCTCTTCAGACTTAAAAGGTCACATGCAATGATGTAGAATGCAGGAATAGCATAGGCTGTTGGATCCAAAGTCACGTGGATCCAATGTTGGTGGGAACATGGCAGGGCTCCGACTGCTCTCTGAGTCAGCAAGCAGGAAGGTCAAGGTGGAGGGAGGTTCCCAGGGCCCTCCTTATGAGAAAGCTACATCCACAAGGAAGAACCATTAGGCTATTACTTGATTGACAGGTTGAATATTACCACTATACTTTTATATATCTTCAAGTTGACATAAAATTATGTAACAACCACAAGGTGTTTCACTAGTTCATTATTCTTTAGCAATGCATAAGATTCCATTGTGGGTATGTCTGGCTAAGACTTTCAGCAATGTACTGAATAAGTGGTGATATAGGACAACTTTGTCTGGTTTCTATTCACAAGAGGAATGACTTCAGTTGCTCACCACTGAGAAACACTGGTATGTTTGTTGGCTGGTTGTTTTACATATACAGCCTTTATTGTGCTGAGAAAAGTTCTACCTATTTGTATTTTGTTAAGTGTTTTCTTAAAATCAGGAATCAGTGTTGCATTTTATCAAAATTCTTCTCTGTATTAAATGATATGATTCATGTAGTTCTTTTCCTTTGTTTTATTTGGTGGATTACATTGTTTTTCTAACATTGAACCATCCTTACATATCTGATATAAACCCTGCTTGATAATGATGCATTGTTATTTTGATATCTTGTTGGATTATGTTGTCTAGGATTTTGTTGAGCATTTTTGTATCTCTGTTCATAACTGGATCCCAAAGGCTTTTCACCCACTGGCCTGTGATCTTCTAGCACATCATTGGTCTGTAATTTCTATTCTGGCAATGTGTTTTCCTGGGTTAGCATCAGGGTTATGCTCACTTCCTAAAATGTGTTCTGGAGTTTGTTGTCCTTTCCTATATTCTGGAGAATTTGAGCAGAATTGATGTTAACACTTCTCGGAATGTTTGATAGAATTCCCTGCTAAAGTCATCTTGTCCTGGACTTTTTTGTTGGGAGTTTTTTTAGCGACCTGCATATTTCTTCTTTTGTTAGAGTTTATTAACAGTTTCTACATCAGTTGGTGTTAATTTAGTTAGGTAGAGTATTTCTAGAAATAAGTCCATCTCTCCTAAGTTTTCAGATTTGTTGCAATACAGTCTTTCATAGTATTGTGTTAGTATTTTGTATTTCAGTTGTGATGTTGCCTTCGTCCCCCATCTTACTTGTAATACTTGCACCTTCTCCTTTTCCTTTGTTAAGTTTGGCAAGGGTTTGCCAATTTTGTCAATTCTTTCAAAGAACCAACTCTCGTTGATTTTTCTTGTAATTTTTCTGTTTTCTGTTTTATTTATTTCTGTTCCAATCTTTTTTTCCCCCCTTCTGGTAACTGAAGGTTTATTTTGCTGCGGTTTTTCTTATTGTTGAAGATGCCAGGTTAAAGTGTTGATTTTGAGTCTTCCTTTCTTTGGGGTATGTTTTATTACTATACATTGCCCTCAGAGTATACTTTTGCTGGGTCCCACAAATTTTGGTTCATTGAATTTTTATTCTCATTTTTTTCAGGGACTTAATATTTCATTCTTTATTTTTTTAATGTCCCAGCATTTCCTAAGTAGAGTGTTCAATTTACACTTGATTTCTCTCTTGATCTTCCTATTGTTCATTTCTCATTTTAGTGTTGTGATTTAAGAAAATGGCTTGTAATATTGTGTTTTAAATTTTATTAAGGCTTTCTTTGTGAACTAAAATATGTATTATTTTGGAGAATATTCCACAGGTCTGGAAAAGAATTTATTTTGTGTTGTTTCCAGGTGGAATGTTCTGTACATGTCTATGTCAAATTGATTGTGTTGTTTAGTTCTCTAATATTTATATTGTTTCTTTCCCATTTTCTGCCCTTCTTCAAAAGTGATATATTGGAGTCTCCTACTATTATTGTAGTATTCTCTAGTTCTCTCTTAAACTCTACAAGAGTTTGATTAATGTATTTTGAAGCTATTTAATTTGGCTCATAGATGTTTATTTTGGCTATGTCTTCTTGTTAAGTTGTACCTTTAATCATTATGCAATGCCCTTCATCGTCTCTCAACATGGATTTTGACTTGAAGTCTATTTTGAAAAATTGTAAATTAAGTGAGAATTTACATTTCAGACCATCTACATTGTACTCAATACTTTAAGTCACCACTCAAATCTCTTAGTCTAACCCTCCCCTGCTCCTTGATTTCTCTTCTCCCTCCCGATGACCAACATTTTCTACACCATTCAAGTGTGGTAGTTATACAATTTCATGTCAACTTGATAAATTGAATGAAGGGGTGGATTCTAGCCTGTCAATCATGCCACAGCTTCTCTTCCTCCGTGGAGTCAGGATGCACTCTCTGCTTCACCTTCCTGTCAACAAGCCAAGTGGAGCCAGAACCCTGGAGATGCTTCCACCGACACTGGATCCCAAAGGCTTTTCACCCACTGGCCTGTGATCTTCTAGCACATCATTGTATGTACCGCATGACTCTGAAGAAAAAATTATGGGCTAGTATCAGACATATGGGCTAATATCGGACTTATGGACTTGATCTGGACTGGGCTGGGATGTTTTCTCAATATATGATTGCTCTTTGATATAAAGCTCTTTCTTATAGACAAATGAGTGTCTCTGGATTTATTTCTCTAGTCAACCCAGACTGACATACCAAGTTAATGCATGTCTACTATCTAGTCTATTGCTTTATATTCCCTCTCTTGCCCTTCCCTGCCTGGCAAATTCTATTGTCTTTGGTAGGAAAGCCCTTATCTTGTTTTTCTTTCCTCCTCCTTTATAATAATGGTTTCAAACAAAGTTTGTCATTTTGTGATTAGGTAACTGCACTCAGCTAATGCTCTCAAGGTCCACTCGTGCCATGAAGTCCTCTGTGGTCTCATTGTTATGATTATTATTATAATTTAGTCTTGGGCAGTGCTCATTGTATGTGTATGTCAATGTTTCTTTATCCCTTCTTCGACTGATGGCGATTGAGGTTGTTTCTCACCTCTTGATGCTCTGGACAGTGCTGTGATGAACATGGTTATGAATATATTTGTTTTTGTAATGATTCTTACTTCTTTAAGCTATATACCCAACAAAAGGTTTGCAGGATTTTTGGGAATGTCTAATTCTATTTATTGAAGCCCATTTTTACCACAGATTAATATTTCCACTCCTGACATTTTTGGTTGCCATTATATTGATATATTTTATCCATCCTTTTATTTCTAGTTTATTTTTGTCTTGGTGTTTTCAGTAGATCCTGTTTACGTATTCAATCTACTACTCATTGTTTCTTGTCTGGTGCATTTAATATATTTACTTACAGAGTTGTTGTTAATAGGCATTTATTTATTGGTGTTTATTTTGCTGTGTAATTTTTAATGGTGGTTTCAGTTGCTTGTGATGTTCTTTCTTTTTAAATTAGTAAATTAGGCAGGGGTTTACATTTCAGATGACCAATTTTGTATTCAAGACTACAAATAACCAATGGCTTACCCAACCATGGCTCCTTGATTTCTCTTCTCCATCTTGTGGATCATCATCATCCACTTCACCCAAATTAACTCTCATCTACCACCTAACCTGTTGCTTCATCTTCCTTCTTCTCTTCTCCTCCCACTTCCTCTACCACCGAAAACTCTAAAACTCTAAAACCCTTCCCTCTCCCTGACCATTCTCCTACCCTCACGATATCACTACTCCCACTACTATTCCTTAGTGGTTTAGTTGTCCTGAATTCCATGTGTCAGGAGCTCTTATCTGTATCAATGTGTGTTTTTCAGTCTAGCCAGATTTATAAGGTAGAACTGGATCATGGTAGTTGGGGGGAGGAAGCATTCAGGAACTAGAGGAAGGATGTGTGTTTTGTTGGGTGCTATACTGCATTTTGGTTGAGTCATCCTTCCTTGTAACCCTTCTGTGAGGAGACATCCATGTCTACGGATGGGCTTTGGGTCTCCATACACATTCTTGGATGTGTAAAGAGGCTAGGTTCTAAGTGGGTGCCAAGTGATGGTGAGTGAATACATATCAGTGAAAACAGACAGAAGGTTTCTTTTCAGGTTTCAATGTCCATATGGCCCTGGTGGGTGATGGCTTTCATGTTTAAGGAAGAATGGAGGATTCAGAGTAGTTTATACTGTTCCAAAGGGCAGTCATACACTATTCTGAAATAAAAGCAAACACAAAGAAACTTAACAAGTAAAGGAACCCGTGAGAAGACAGAGTTCAACGTAGTGAGGTTCAACGTAGAGGAAGGTGATATAGGGGAAGAGAATATTTAGGGAACTTTCAAAAGTAGAACAGGCAGATAGAATAGCATAAATGAGCAGGGAGATAAAAGCCTGAGGTAGTCTGGGAAATCTTTTTAATATGTGAATGTAAACAAACAGACTCTAGAAGTAAAGTGACTTTCAGTGCTAAATAAGATTCATTCTATAGCAGTTGAATTAAGTAAGACAAGTTAGCAGGGTGGCTGCTGATGACCAGTAGAGAAGCTGAGAGGCAGAGGCGAGAGCCAGAGCTCAGAGAAAAGGAGCTTGGGGTTTGCAAGTTTCCTTTGTTCCAGATGGTGGTTAAAGGGAAACTTTGTCATTTGTGGGGAAGAAAGTCAGAAATGAGACTTTGTGGGGTAGGTTTGTCAACAAAGATCAAATACCAGTTTTTCTGAGAGAAAGAACACCTGCAGATGAAATGCTGTTTCTGCAACTCCCATTGTTAGTTGGTCTCCTCCCAGGTGGGGAGTGTGTGTGTGTGTTTATGATGTAGACTCAAGATACACCTGTGAATGTGAGTGCCAGCCAGTTCCATTCTGAGTATCCTTGTCCCCAGGTCTCTGTTCCCTTCTGCAGGCTGTTGATAGAACATGACATCCTGGGACGGGCAAATGCCTGAAGACATAACCATGCTTTTCTCTTCCTTCAGATTTTGAATTCTCCATTTATGGAAACTTTCTTTCTCCACGCTATCTCCTTTTCAATGATTTTTTTCCCACCTTACTCTGTTGTTTTGCTACCTCCAGCCTTGCAGGGTCCTATCTCCTACCATATTATCCAGATATCATCTTATTACAACCACTCCTGGGCACAAACTCTGGCCTCTGGTTGGTTGAATGAACTGCAGACTCATAGCTGGGAGGGTAACTCTGGCACTGCCATTTTCCTATGGCCCTGGTCCAAGGGGAACTTCAGCAACAAAGAGCTGGTAGAACTGGAAATGCTGTTTCGAATGTACTTCATTGGATTGACTCGGGAAATTCACAACTATTACAACCAATTGCAGTTTGAATGTGAGTTCAGTTGCTTCAGTGGGGAAACTGGGGAAGAGGGGTGGTGTCTGAGTCTCAATTTAAAAAAATTAGGAAACACCGTTCCTCTCCACTGAGAGCCTTGCTCCACCTGCTTTGCCCCACGTCTGCAACCACACACCTCTGGACAGGGAACAGGAAGGAGGAGAAATAATTTTAAATCTGACGTTTGAAATGCTTCAGGCCTTCTGCTCTTTATGATATCCGTTCTCATTTATTTTTGGTTTGTACTTTACCATTTCCCTTTAGTTATCTCTTGTGATCACAGTTTTCAAACTTTCAGATGAAATTTCTCTGTTTTCTCACTCTTTGACTACTTAGAACATCCAAGCATTCCCACAGAACCCCTTGTGCAGTCACTGTCTTCTATATTGTCATCATAATCCACTTCTTTGTCTTCACTCTGGATTATTATAATCCCAAATCCCTGCCTCTAAGTCTCTCTTACCCACGTCATTTAACTCAGTTTCTTCAATCAGTTGCCCCTTGCTTCATATCAGTCCTCTCTTCTTCTACATTGAACTTCCACCGACTCTCCTGTACTTGAATCCCTGATTAAATGGAACTTAATCCCATTCCCTCAAGTTTCTCATCTGATTCTTATTTTTCTTTACACTCATTTCATTTTTAAAAATTATCTTTTCCACTAATTCACAATTCTATTTTCAGATCCCTTTGAAATACAGATGACAGGAGGCTGTGTGCTGCACCCTGGGGAGGACCCCACAGGCTTTCTGCAGGGGGCTTTTCAAGGATCAGATTTCCTGAGCTTCCACAACAAGTCCTGGGTGCCATCTCCAAGGAGTGGAAGGAAGGCTGAGAATGTCTGCAGTCTCCTCAATCAGTACCAAGGCATCAAGGAAGTCGTGCATGGACTCATCAGTGGCACCTGCCCACGCTTCCTTTTGGGTCTCATAGAGGCGGGGAGGGTGCATATCCAGAGAAAAGGTGAGTCCTACATCCTGCTTAAAATGGTTTTTTCTTTTAACATCTCAGCATTCTACCATCTCCTTCAGATTTAGCTTAAGAAGAAACTAGGAAGAGAGGAAAATGAGGGACGGATTTCTAGGGGTGGGAAAGATAAGTCTGTATAAACTGATGTTGACATGTGAACTTCTACATTTTGTGTAGAGGCTTTACCTGAATTGTGTTTCCGGTTTTTTCCAGTGAAGCCCGAAGCCAGGCTGTCTGGTAACACCACTCCGGGCCATGGCTGTGTCCTGCTGGTTTGCCATGTCTTTGGCTTCTACCCAAAGCCGGTGTGGGTGATGTGGATGCGGGGGGAACAGGAGCAGCCAGGCTCTCGGCGAGGTGATGTCCTGCCCAATGCTGATGGGACCTGGTATCTCCGTGTGCTCTTGAATGTGACCGTTACCGAGGCACCTGGCCTGTCTTGCCGGGTGAGGCACAGCAGTCTAGGTGACCAGGACATCGTCCTCTACTGGGGTAAGGAAGAACGATGGCGCACACTGGAAAGGGGAGTTGGCTATCCAGGCACAATACTCGAGCAGATGCAATGCCTGTTTCTTAGGCATTTCAGGCTCCAAAGGGATAACAATTGTGAATTCAAGGACTAGAGAGAAGAGCTGAAATTGTGGAGCTTGTAGATGTCAGAATATGTTCAGGGTCACCAACCCCTCCAGAAAACAAAAAACGAAAATAATTCAGTGTAATCCGAACAATTCCAACTCACAGCGACCCAATGAGATTGAGTAGAAATGGGTTTTTTCAAGACTGTAACTCTTTACAGGGGTTGAAAAGCTCACTTTTCTCCCTTAAAACAGCTGGTAGTTTTGTGCTGTTGAACTTTTAGTTATCAGCTGAATATGTAATTCACTATACTACCACAGTGCTTGTTGTTGAGGATTCTAAGAAACATTATTCCCTGCACTGGATGAGAGGAAAAAATAAGAAGAGAGATCGTTGAGGCAGATCCTTAAATGGACAAAGGAAACCCAGAGAAATAGAGTTAAACAGCGATTGCGATGGATTTGAAATGACATCTTTGTGTGCATTGAAATACACAGAACATCACACCTCCACGGCTGTGACCTTCTCGGCAGTGATGGCGTCCCTACTGCTTCTGGCTGGCTTGATGTTTTGGTTTAGGAAGTGCTGGTGAGTTTTTTGTATCCACCTTTCTTGCCCTAGTCCAACATATCTCCTGTCCAACATTGCACCCATCTTTCTTGCTCCTTACCTTAGTTGCTTCTCTATCAGCTGTTCTTCTTTTCCTCCAAGCCTCCTCTATGTCTCTTCAATTCTACCTCTACCTGTGCAGAGTGACTGTCAGTTCTCTTCTTATACAGTTCCTATGATGACCTACTATGAGCTTCTTTGTTGCTCCTCTCCCTTTGGGACCCGAATCCAGCAGTCCAGCAGCTCAGGATACACCTGGACACAATACAACGATGGCATCTTTTCAAATCTCCTTGTAAAAATTTATGTTTGATAGCTTGCTTATTTCTGCTTAATTTTCAATGATCAATATTAGCTAAATTTAATATTTCAGGATTTATTGCTATGACCTAGGTTATTGGGCTTTACAATGTAAGGTTAAATTTAAATGGGAAAACATGGTCTGTAAATTCCAAAATTAATCAATCTAAAGACTTATGTCAGGGATTACTTCTTGAAATGCTGTCCATAATTGACATATAGGGAGCAAGGCCTACATCCTTGGAATTCCACAGCACTCTAAACTGTATTTGATAAATGTATTCTTTACTTCCAATCCTTTGTTTCATTTATGTAAGTCATGCTTTCCCTTCCAATTAAAAATTTTTAAATAGATAAGTCTATCAAATACACGTTTTCCCTACCTAATATATATTTTTCTTCTTAATATTTATTTTACCTGCTTGTAATATGATATCAATAAAAATCTTATAGTCTTATTATTTTTCTTTTCTGTGTTTTTGTCAGAGTTGAGACATTTGATACTTTCCTCAATAAAACAATCTTCTCACTTGGCCAAGAGGATTCACACATGCCTAGTTCCCTGGTTTCTTCTCTGAACTTCTGAGAAAAAAATACAATATATTCTCTTACCCTTATAGAAATATATCCAATATAGAATACCCTTATAGAATATATACCATATATTCTTTCTCTTAATATTTTAGAAGATAGTCATTGAAATACAACAATTTTTTTACTATTGGAAATAAAAATTCCATGACAGTATGTAGGTCCTTGTGATTCAGCGATAAGCAGCAGAATTATTGCCTCAGAGCTTGTCAGAAATAAAGCCACCGCAGAATTCATAGGATAATTTAAATTTGAGAGGCAATGGTGATGCCTGAGAAGTTGTAGGGCAAGTATAACACTCAGAAGAAATGAAATTAGTCAAAAAAAGAGAATAAGAGTTCCATTGGATTGAAGTAGTGAAGATATTGAGGGTCCCAAATGGTAGTATGAGTCCATGAGTAGACTTAACTAGCTTAATATTCATTAACTAGCTTAATATTCATTCGTGCAGTCAACAATGTCTAGTAAACACGGTCACATATTGTATTTCCACAGAGTGAATGCATAGTAATATTTTTAAAAGCATAGTTCATCATTGTCTTCTGAGCTTTAAGTTTTTTTGCTTATCAAACTTGATTGTACAGTGTATAATTTCATTGTTGTGTGTGGTTTTAAAAATCATTTTATTGGGAGCTCTTACAGATATCATAATGTTCCATAGTTCAATCACATCAAGTTTTATTGGACAATTGCTACCAAAAATCAGTTTCAAAACATTTTATTTTTTCTTGAACTCCTTGATATCAGCTTCCCTTTATCCCCTTCCAGCCCCCTGCCCCCAACCCTTATTATTTTTTGCCATATCTTACACCATCTGATGTATCCACTCACCTATAATTCTGTTGTTTGCCTCCCTCAACTGGGGTTATACAGTCATCAAGGCTACCAGCTCCCCCTTACCCTCACCCCTCTCTTCACATACCCTCAGGGAACCATTGCTCCTGTTACAGTTTCTGAAGGGTTATCTATCTTGGCTTTCAAGTATTGAATGATCTTAACTATACAAATGAACATATACTGTCTAACATGATAAATTAGGTAAAACAAATAAAAACCAAAATATTAAGGGGAGAAAATATTAAAGAACTGGAGGATAATTATATGTTTTATTAGTTCTATACTGCACCCTGGATTTATCACCTCTTCCATGTGGCCCTTCTGAGAGGGACCGTCTAATTATCTTACAAGTGGGTTTTGGGTCTCCACTACATGCATGCCCCTTCACATTGGTTGGGCTGCTTGTTTTTGAACTTCTGATACCCTTTCCTGTCGCCACCTCATGATCATACATGCTGGTGTGCTTCTTCCATATAGGCTACATTGCTTCCCTTGTAGATGGCCACCTGTTTAACTACATGCCTTTAAGACCCTGGATGCTCTATCTTTCGATAGCTGAGCACCATCAGTATTCTTCACCACATTTGCTTATGCACCCATTTTGTCTTTAGTGATCATGTCATGAAGGCATCATATAATGACACATTATTATGACAAATTATTGAGGTAAAATTTAAGTAGAGGCCCAAAGTTCACCTGCTTCCTTGTTGCATTTGCATATCTATACATACCAGGGGGTACCCCCAAGGAACTGGAAAAAAGCTCCTCTCAGTGGAGCTCTCATAGTACACATCTTTCCCACTAGGCAAGTATTGAGCAACCCGCGAGTGCACCCAGTGGCATCACCTGGGAAGGTTCTTTATGCTCATAGTAACTTTTTTTGTGAATGCAGTTTCGCTCTACCCTTGTTTTTTTGTGATGGCCAATTTAAGAGAACAGTGATTAACTGTTTCCTGCTCAGGAAAAATGCCACAAAAACTGTTGGGATGTTGAACACAGCTTACAAAGACAGCACTATGGGAAAAACTCAAGTATATGAGTGGTTTTTCTCATTTCAAAAAAGGTGAAATGTCAATTGATGAAAAACCTCACTCTGGACGTCCATCAACTTCCCAAACAGACAAAATTCATGTATTTGTACTCAAAGACCAATGATGGACCATTAAGGAGATGGGGAAGTTATCTGGACTGTCTTGGAACTTGATTCAGTGAATTTTAACAGAAGATTTGGCAATGAGAAGGGTTGCTAGGAAATTTGTGCTGTGGGTTCTGACTGAGCAGGAAAAAGAGCACTGAGTGGAGACATGCAGGGCTTTGAAAGAACAGCTCCAAAGCGACCCAGACTTTTTTCCAAGGGAATTACTGGTGACAAGACATGGTAATATTCCTACGACCCCAAAAGCAAACATCAACCAAACCAGTGGAAGATGCCATTGCCACCCAAAAAATGCTTGTCAGTGAAATGAAAAATCAAGAAGATGGCTATTTGTTTTTGCTGTGTGGAGGATAGCGCATTTGGAGTTCATTCCGCCAGGTCAGCTTGTTAATCAAGCTCTCTCGGTAGAGGTTCTGAAATGATTGCCTAAGTGTGCCACATAAAAAGGCCTGATTTGTGGCAGATGGTGGACTGGTTTTGCCACCATGACAATGCACCTGCTCATACAGCCATCTCAGCATGTCAGTTTTTGGCAAAAAACCCAGCATGCTTCTCTTGCCCCATGCACCTTACTGACCTGACCTCACTGTGCACTTGCAAATGCAGAGGGACATGAAATTTGACAATGTAGAAGAGGTGGAGAAAAAAATGAGGGAGGTGCTGTTAGCCATCCAAACAGATGAGCTTAAAAAATGTTTCCAAGAATGGACGAGCGGATTTGACATATGTATTAAGTGTAATGCAGAGTGCTTTGAGGGTGAGAAGGTTGTTTTGCAAATAAATTTAAGTACATAGCTTTGGGGGGGGATTCTGATTTGGGGGGTACCTTCCTATATATATACACACATGGGTGTGTGAATTTATATATATATATATATAATTTATAGATAGAAATATATAATTTATGTATATATATATTATACAAAACATTTGCCCTTTCAATATTCTTATATGAAGCATCTGAATCAATCAATTTCTCTCCTGGACTCTTCATATGTGTGTGTGTGTGTGTGTGTGTGTGTGTGTGTATATATATATATAAAACCTTTTATTGTGAATTAGGTGAAGGTTTACAGTCCGATGGTCAGTTTTCCATTCAACAATTCATATACACTTTGCTTTGTCTCATTCAGTGCAATCCCCTCAATGCAACACCACTCATGTCACTTCCTCTGCTTTCTGCTTCTACCCCTCCTTCTCTACTACCCTTCTGAACGTTGACCTTGGACTAATGCTAGCCTCATGATGTCAAATGATTCTAAGGTGTGTATTTCACTAGTATTGCTGTTTCCCTTATAACTGTCATTGAGTGGATCCCTACTAGATATCTATCTAATGTTTAGGTGAACATGGAACTATGGAGTTGAGTTCAATTCCACACCTAAAGAGGGACTAAAAAAATCAAGCTCGCTGTCATAGGGACCCTAGAGGTCAGGGTAGAATTGCCTCTGTGGGTTTCTGAGATTATAACTTTCAATGGGAGCAGAAACCTTTGCCTTTCTTCTCTGGAGCAGCGGGTGGTTTTGAACTGAAGACCTTGTCGTTAGCAGCCCAGTGTATAACCACTTGCCACCAAAGCTGATGAAGGATGACTAAGGGTCATGTATTTTTGGTAAACTACTAATTAGAAACCAAAGTGCTGGCTCTGTTACTGACTAAGTGAGTGACTTTGCAATAGCTCCCAGCTCTTCATTCACCTCTTCAGGTAAATCTTAAAAAAAACAAAAAACCAAAAGTAAATAAAACTCACTGCCATTGAATTGATGCACACCGATAGAGACACGATAGGACACAGTAGATCTGCCCGTGTGAGTTTTCGAGACTGTACCTGTTTATGGAAGTAGTTATCCCTATCTTTCTCCCTATCTTTCTCTGGTGGTTTAGAACTGATAACCTTGTGGATCACAGTCCAATGCATAACCACTATGCAACCAAGGCTCCAGGTAAATCTTAGAAAACATATATACTGCTAGGATTTTTATGAGCATGAAAAGATAATGTAACACCATTAATAAAATATAATAGCATTGAGAGTTAAGTAATAAAAATGGAAGACATTTACCTGTGGATCTCATTCTGGCACAATGCATTTGTTTGTTCATTAGTTAATTTGATCATTAAGTCAACACATATTCAATTTTAACTCTTTGCATATTCACTGGGCGTAATTCCAATAAGTATGAGAAGCAGCTTTGGCTCCAAGCATCAAAGTAACTAATAATCTTCCCCTCCAAAAAAAAAATTTTTTTTTGATGCTTACATTCCACTCAACACAGGGTCAAACTTCAGAAGTCTTTGGAAGCTATGTATCTTAGTTTTCTATTTACAGTATTCTTTCTCTACAAAAATCTCTGAGAATCTTTCTTCCATTTCCTATTGCTGAGTCGTATTTACTTCAGTAGACAGTAAAAACTTTGTTCTCTCCCGTTGTTTTCCTGAACACACTGACTTCAGCACTGGGGTTACTGTTTAGAGACCAAAAGTTTTCTCTAAGGGAACTGTTCTTGAAGGAAGAAATGAAAACATAGAAATAAAATGTGAGACATGTTTGCAATTGGACATGAAAGAAAAGGAGCAAGTGATATATAAACATTCTGGTATTTAACAAGTGGAATCAGGGAGTTGTACTGTCAGATATTAAGTGAATCCAAGAGTGGATTAGTGGAAGAGGTGAAAACACCCTCAATTTAAAACATGGAAAGAACTGGGTATTGTTCCCACCCTAGCGGTGGCCCATCCTCTGAATACTTAATATAAAATTACATTCATCAGGTTAAAGTTGAGATTTTGAAAATATAAAATTGTATTGAAAATCAAAATATAGAGAGCTGGGTATTTTATTTTGTTTTCCAAACCATTTTATTTTTTTTATTTTTTAATTTTTTATTGTGAGTTGGGTGAAAGTTTACAGAGCAGATTTTACAGGCAACATTTTACAGTCAACAATTAATGCACATTTTGTTTCATGTCATTGAATGCAATCCCCATGATATAATATCACTTGTAAAACTTCCTTCCTGTATTTTCTGTTTTCATTCATCTTTCTTTCTGAACCCTTTTAAAAAATCATTTTTATTGGGGGTTCATACAACTCATCACAATACATCCATCCATTGTGCCAAGTACATTTGTACATCTGTTGCCATCATCATTCTCAGAACATTTTCTTTCTACTTGAGCCCTTGGTATCAGCTCCTCATTTTTTCTCCTCCCTCCCTCCTCCACCCTCCCTCCCTTCCTCTCTCCCCATTGATAATTTGTAAATTATTATTATTTTTTCCATGTCTTACACTGTCCGATGTCTCCCTTCACCCACTTTTCTGTTGTCCACCCCCCAGGGAGGGGGTTATATGTAGATCATTGTGATCGGTTCCCCTTTTCTTCCCCCACCTTCCCATTACCCTCCTTGTGTTACTTCTCTCATGATTGGTCCTGAGGGATTTATCTGTCCTGGATTCCCTGTGTTTCCAGCACTTATCTGTACCAGTGTACATCCTCTGGTATAGCAGGATTTGTAAGGTAGAAGTGGGGTCATGATAGTGGTGCGGGGGGTGGAGGGAGAGGAAGCATTAAAGAACTAGAGGAAAGTTGTATGTTTCATCGGTGCTATACTGCACCCTGACTGGCTCGTCAACTCCCTGTGACTCTTCTGTAAGGGCTGTCCAGTTGCCGACAGATGGGCTTTTGTCTCCACTCTGCACTCCCCCTCATTCACAATGAGATATGATATTTTGTTCTTTGATGCCTGATACCTGATCCTATCAACACCTCTTGATCACACAGGCTGGTGTGTTTCCTCTATGTGGGGTTTGTTACTTCTCAGCTAGGTGGCCACTTGTTTACCTTCAAGTCTTTAAGACCCCAGACACTATATCTTTTGATAGCCAGGCACCATCAGCTTTCTTCACCACATTTGCTTATGCACTAACTTTGTCTTCAGCGATCATGTCGGGAAGGTGAGCATCATGGAATGTCAGGTTATTAGAACAAAGTGTTCTTGTGTTGAGGGAGTACTTGAGTAGAGGCCCAATGTCCATCTGCTACTTTAATACTAAACCTACAAATTTATGTACATAGATCTATTTCCGCATCATCATATATAAATATATTTATATATGTACATGCCTGTATTTAGACCTCTATAAATGCCTGTTGCCTCCTAGTTCTTTCCTCTATTTCCTTTTAATTTCCTCTTGTCCCACTATCATGTTCAGCCTTCATTTGGGTTTCAGTAATTCCTCTTGATTACATTGCCCTTGATCAAGCTCTACCAGGCATCCTACACCCTCCTCACCACTGATTTTTGATCACTTATTGTTCCTTTGTCCCTGGGTTTGTTAACACCCACCTTCTTTTCACCACCTTTCCCTCTCCCTTGCCCTCCGGGACCATTAGTACTGTTGTTTTCTCCTCCAGATTGTTTATCCCACCTATCTTACTTAGAGATAGACCTGCAGAGATAATAATATGCACAAAAAAAACAAGACAGAGCAAAACAAAACAACAAAAGAAAACAAAACAAAAATAACAACAACAAAAACCAATGACAGCAAAATAGAAAAGCTTGTAAATAGTTCAAGGTCTATTTGTTGATCTTTAGGAGTGTTTTCTGGTTGAGTATGATAGGATGTCATGCCCTGGCCCTAAAGTCTATTTTTGGTATTCCCTGGGGACTTTGATGCTCTGCTCCCCTTGCTGTTCTGCTGCATGCCCTTAGTGTTTCACCTAGGTGTGATGGGGTCAGATCTGGCACAATTCCCACACTGCGTCCCCAATGTTGTCCTCCGTAGCACTATTGGTCAGTGATCTGAACCCTTTTGAACCTTGTCTTCGGCCAAGTTCTGCCCTTTTGATCTCAAATGGTTGATTATTCTCAAGTGTTATCATTTCCCTTATAGACCTGTCTTTTTCTGGGAGATAATTGAGCCATATAAGTGAGTTCATTTCTAGTCTGGAGGACCACAGTCTTATGGATTCCAGCACACTGTATTATACCAGTAAATCTGATCTTTTTTGTGTGATTTTAGGTTTGTTCTACATTTTTCTCACATTCTTTCCAGGTTCCTCTAATGTGATCTCTTTCAGAGTGGTTTGGTTGGTAGTAATAGCTGGGTGCCATCTATTTCTTCTAGTCCTGGGGTTGTGGAGATTGAAGTTTGTGTGGTCCATTAGTCTGGTGGATGAATTGTTTCTATGTGTCTTTGCCTTCCTTCATTCTTTCAGTAACTTGACAGTGAGAGGCCAGTAGTTATACCTAGATGGACACTTATGAGTCTTTAAGACCAGTAGTTATACCTAGATGGACACTTATGAGTCTTTAAGACCCCAGGTGCCACTCATCCAAGTGGGATATCACATTATTGTCTTGGTGGACTATGTTATGTTAATTGATCTTGGTGTCCCCTAAGAACATGGTCTTGAGCTCCCAGACCCAGACTATTTCCTGAGGTGTTTGGTTATGCCTAGGGTTTTCATAACTTTGCCTCCTATATGCTCAACAACATTAATGGATATATTACAACAAAGCTGACCTATCTATTCCTGTAGACATTGAAACTGAGTTCTAGAATCAGTAAACTGATTTGTTCAAGGACAACACCTGTGATTTTCTTACCTGCTTTAAAATATAAGATCAAATAAGGATGAGTACAGCCAATGTTATTATTGTAATGCCACAGATGTGGAAATGGAAAATAGAAAAAATAAAGATAAAAAAATCATAAAGATGATGTAATAACCTGAGCCAAAGCCTGAAAATCAGGATATTTATTCCCTCTTGCTTTTTCAAATGTTCTTAAAGAGTTTTGATTTTCACAGTATTAGAGATTGCATAAATTCTTTCCTCTTGAGAATATGTGAATGGATATTTCAATGATTGCTCTAAGAGTATATTTATTCACTGGAACATTGTAAAGCCTAGGTAGGATTTGGAAAGAATAGGTGGCTAGAAGCAGACAGTGTGACACAATTAAGGAGATTGTGTTCAAAAGGATTTAGTGAAAGTAACATAGATACAGTAGAGAGGCAAAACCATTTTATTAGTAGATAATCCAGGTATCATACTATTCCATAGTTTAGTTATATAAAGCAGTGTTTTATAATTGCTACCACAATTGGTTTCAAAGCATTTTCTTTTTTCTTGAACTCCTTGATATCAGCTTCTCCTTAACTTCCCACCCCCCACCTCTCCCACCATACCCCCCAGGAATCTTTATTCCACTTATTGTTGCTATGGATTCACCTATCCTGGGTTTGATATACCGAAAAACATAGAAAATCACGTAACGATAGTCAGGAAGGCTACCAACAAAGGACACATTACAAACCCCAATATGAACAGAAAACAGAAAGTATTGAAATTCATAGTCTTTTGGAAACCAGAATCTTATTATTTAAGCTCTGATACTATTCCACCCTTTGGATTTGGATGATATAATCTACAATCCTTGGATCATGGATGTTGGTGTGCTTCTTGCTTGTGGGTTTAGCTGACGTCTCACTTAGATGACTGTTTGTTTGAAAACAAGTCTTTACGGACCCAGACACTATTCTCTCTGATAGTTTGCCACCATCTAATTTTCTTCACCGCGTTTTGCTATAGCACCCATATCTTCTGTGTTTCCCCATGTGAGGGTGAGTATTGGAGCTTGATGTTTTAATTTAGTATTTTTTACTATAAATAGGTGGGTGGGAGGGAACTTCAAAATATGTGTGGGAAAATTTCATTATCTTTTAAGTTCATTTTTCCCCAGGAAGTTTTTGAAGCCCCTTGTATTTGTTTTTATAATTTGTTGTAATTTCTCATTTATTCTATTTTGTTTACTAATTTGGTTTTAACTTTGTCCTAAATTTTAATGTGATGCAAAAACTACTTTAAAGAAATGCATATGAACTGGTGGTCAAACTACATGGGAGAAGATTTAACATATATCCATATCCATAATCCATATCCATAATCATATTTATGGATATTTAAAATAAGATATTTATTATTTTAGTTCAGGTTTTAGTGATCTTTAAAATAATCCTTTCATATTCTCACATGAAAGGAAGTCTAACTGGCCTACTTCACAAGAGCTAGAAGTTGACATGGAATTTCTCAAAAAGAATTTCTCTTGAAAGAGAAAAGAAACACACACTCGTAAATGTGTGTACCTAGTGTCAGAAAAAAACAAATAGAGGGAAATTTTTCTCTCAAAAATGACCTGGCCATATCTGCTCACAAATATATGCTTTATCACTGGTTGGAGCAAGAAAAAAGTGGAGATTTGAGTAAGATTGAAAGAATAACCTCAGTACAAATGCGCTTTACACAATTGATGTGTGTATGGATTGTGGTAAGAGTTGCATGAGCCCCTAATAAAATGATTAAAAAAAAAGAAAGAATAACCTGTTATTCATGCAAAATTATTGCATTAACATGATTAAATTCCCAAGACCCTCAGTTCTGTAATGATGGACTAAATGGCTAATACTCATTTTCTTGATACATGATGTAAAGAGAGAAACTTGGGATTGCTTATCCTGCCTATCTTATATAGATACACCAAAAGGAACAAAGAAAAAAAAAAGAAAAAATCATATATACAGTCCCCAGCCTAACTGCTATCCTGATCCAGAGTAGATGGGGTTCTCTCTGTCAAATAGCAAGCGGCACTGGTTCTAATCCATTAGTCCAACGCCCGTTTCTTTCAGGGTTCCCTATCTCGGGACTCACATACCTAACAGCAGTTATGCCCTGTTATTCCTCAGCATTCCTGACGGGAAGGCATACCACCTTGAAGCCCCGTTGCTCTTCTTGCAGTCAGGAATGGAGCCATCTAGTGCCCCACCCCCTACACCTTTAGACTTTCAGTGTGGCCCTTGTGAATATCCTCCAAATAGTTCAGATGAAGTGCTAAGCGCTTCCACCGAGTCAGAAGTCTATCATTGGAATTTCTCAGGGACGTCATGACTTTATGACTTGGCTCCCATGACTGGTCTGTTGCACTCCTCACTTGGTTTTCCCCCATGTGGGCAGGTCAGACCGGTCACTCTCCCCAACCAAACTGTATCTTCAGTGGTGTCCTCTGGAGTGCTGTCATCTAGGGAGAGGACATTATATCTCGAGCTGAGGCCAGCCCTACAGTCCTCTCTGTGTATGAGCTGGTCCCCGCAGGAACAATGCCCTCAAGGCTTGGCACAGCAGAATAAGTCTCCTCTCTCTCTCCTTTTCCTGTGGAGACATAAATAATACCGTCCCCTTGAGTGGATTAGTGCCCTGTTCTCCCATTGCCATCTTTTTCTTCTCCCACACTCAGGGTGGGGGGCAAGGGAGAAGTGTAGGTGGGGTGTGGGGGATGAGTAGTGAGCCAATAACAACAGGCACAGGGGAATATCAAGGGTTGTAAAAATTACGGTTAGGAAGGTATAGCATTCCTGGTCATGTTTGATCAGTTGAAATGTATTGGAGAGGAATTACTGAGAGGTGAATAATGGGCAAACATGATGGTAGGGCAGGAGGAAAGAAAAAATAAACAGAGGAAGGAAGAAAGTAAAAATTAATTATATATAGGTATAAATATAGATATGTATATATGTAAATATATAAAGGTAGGTGTATTTGTCTATGTATGTATAAATATGTGAGTACAACAAGGAAGCAAATGGACTTTTGGCCTCTACTTAAATCTTACCTCAATGCAAGAATGGTTTGTTCTAATAATGTGGCACTGTATGATACCTTCCTGACATGATTGTTGAAGACAAAATGGGTGCATAAGCAAATGTGAAGAAAGCTGATGGTGCCTGGTTATTAAACGACGCAATGTCCGGAATCTTAAAGGCTTGAAGTTAAAGAAGGGGCCATCTAGCAGGGAAGCAACAAAGCCCACATGGAAGAAGCCTATCAGCCTGTGTGACCATGCTGTATTGATGGGGATAGGTATCAGAAGTTCAAAAACAAGTAATCCAATTGACGTGAAGTAGTGTGGACAAAGTGGAGGCCCCAAACCCACCTGTAAGATAATTGGACAGTCCCTCACAGAAGGGCTACATAGAAGGTATGATAAATCTAGGGAGTGGTGGTGCACTGATGAAACACATAATTATCCTCTAGTTCTTTAATATTTCATCACCTTACTATTATGGTCTTTGTTTTAACTTATTAATCATGTTTATGTTCATTTGTATAATGAAGAGCATTCTATGCATGGAAGCCAAGATAGATAATCCTTCAGAAGCAGTAACAGAAGTCATGATTTCTTGAGGGTACAGGGAGTGGGGTGGGGGTGGGAGGGTGGGAAGGGGGATGCTAATAGCAATGATGACTGTATAATCCCACTAGAGGAGAACAAATAACAGAATTGGAGGTGAATGGATACATAGGATGGTGTAATATATATATATATATATATACACACACATACATACATACATATATTACACAAGGGTTCCAGGGCAGGATAGGGGGAAGTGAGGGGAAAAGAGGGAGCTGATATGAAATAGTTCAAGAAGAAAGAAAATGTTTGAAACTGATGGTGGTAGCAATTCCAAAATTATGCTTGATCTAACTGAATTATGGATTTTTATAATATCTGTAAGAGCTCCCAATAAAATGATTAAAAACAAAAAAAAATAAATGAAGAGAAAAGCTTTTCTGTCAAATGGCAAAAATTGTGGTTTGGGTAGTGAAGGTGTTTGCACTGAGCTATCTATGTAGTCTGCTACCCTTAAAGGACTCCCAGGGTCAGCCACGAGAAGGATTTGCCTGGGTGCATTGAAAGGAGACCTGTGCGAATATGGTTCACCCAGGGGCAGACAGAGTGCTCTGAAGCAACTCTGGCCACTGGCCAGTGGTGGGTCAGGAACAGAAGCAATTGGCCATCATTGGTGAACTCTGATACAAAGATAAAGTTTGGCGCACTTAGCTTTTATGCTGTTTCTCTAGGCTCCAGGGAACTGGAGAGTCCCTCCTCTTGGGACTTCTCTGGTACTTGCTGAGGAGATTTTCCTGTGCTTTTAAACTGTTGGCCACATTCCCCTCCCATCCTGAAGACTTTAGTTTAGGATTAGGAAACAAAAATAAATCAGAAGATGCCAAATCAGAACAGTACAGTGGACGCCTACTCATTTTTCTTCAAAACTCTCCCAAAATTTCCATTTTTGATCAGGAACATGACTGTGGTGATCATTCTCTTGAAACATTTTAAAATTGTAAATCAGGCGGGGGCTTATATTTCGGAGTATCAACTTTGTATTAAACGGTTTAAGTTACTAATCAAACACTCCAATAGTTCATCCTTCACCTACTCCTTCGTTTCCCTTCTCCCTTTTGGGGATTAGCATCTTCCATTTAATCCATGTCAACACTTTCAAGATTTATTTCTGCTAAAGCTTTGGCCTGCTTTCTCAAACCTACCACATAAAAAATCATATATTTGTTTACCCCTCAAGAAATTCAACAAGTACAATTTCTTGAGTAGCTAACAAAGTGTTGTTATGGCCTATGTTCTTGACTGTTCACTTGTTCTTTGACTAGACACCGTTCACCTCTTGAGATTCATTCTTTAGACTGTGCTCTGTCTTCAGGATTGTACTGGCAAAGCCAGGCTTCATAATACCTTACAATTCTTTCCAAAAATGCCTCAGGATCTTGATCCCATTTGTTAAAATTTCCATTGAGATCTTTTTTTTACCTATAGCTGACCTGGGATCAGCAGTTTGCTTAACTTTATTTTTTTAGTCAAAACTGCGTAAGATTAATTAATTGAGATATCTGTAGTGTTGGCTATTATTTCTGTTGTTTTCATCCATCCTCCTCAATTAGAGTGTGAACAAGGTTAATTGATTCCTCACAAATTGATGTTTATGGTGTGCCACCGTGGGCTTCATCTTCAACATTCTCACATTCCTCTTCAAATGAGTTATCCATGAGCAATTATCCATTGGGACATTGTCTCCCATAAACATTTTGTAAAGCATCAATGAATTTACCATTCCTCCATCTAAACTTCATCATAAAATTTATGTTTGCTCTTGCTTTGATTTTTTAGCAGAAATCATGTTGCTCTGATAGGGACTCTTTTCAAACTGATTTTTTTCTTAGTTCTTCAAACTAGATTGCTTTTAGAGATATTATAATAAATTAATGTGTATTTATTTTGATGCAAAGATTTTTGAAACCCATGCATAGTTTTTCCATAATATACATTTCCAATGAACTTTTTGAAAATTTATTGTGTGCATGTGTGTGTGTGCCCATGCATATGAAAGGTATACAAAATACTTGTGGAGAAAGAATCCATTACCATTTAACTATAATTTTTCATGAACTTTTTGAATATCTGCCATATATATTGGTTTTCTTCCCTCATTTACTCTACTCTAATTTATGGAGTTGCAAAAGGTGCAGAGTTGACAGTGAGTGGAGTGTGATGTTTAATGGTACAGTCCAACTTAGTAGATTATGACTTTCAGTATTATGGAATGATCCTCCATTTTGTGAATTAAGAGGAGTTCCTTAGTAGTGTGGTCTGCATCCAGAATATCTGGACATTCTGGAAAAGCTTATATTGCTAAATCCTGCCCCTGGATCATAATCTTCTGATGCCTCTTTCTTGGGATGTGAACCAGCAGCATGCTATCACATCTTTGGGTCTTAGGACTCATTAGTTCTGATGATTCACTGCTTCAGCAACTTCCGCCTAGCCTGTCCACTTTGTGCTCATCATCCACTGTAACTATGCGAGTCAGGAGAAGCTTACAGACTGATGCCTGAACTATGGCTTTGAGACTTGCCAGTCTCCACAACTGCAAGAGACATTTCCTTAAAGGCAACTAACATCTGTCTATCTATTATCTATCAATAATCTATCATTTATCTAGCTATGCATTTATCCACATGTCTAGCTAGTGATATGCTTCATTGGTTTTGCTCTTTTAGAAAACCAAGCCTAAGACACTCCCAATTATTATCTGTGCCAAATGAGAACTGCACCCTTTCAGCTGATTGTGGTCACATGGGCTGCACTATGTTTAATGCTGTGCATCTGCGAAGTGAGTTGAAAGTGTATTTAAAGCACTAGGGAACGGATGTGCTCATTTCTTCCTTTCTCCCCCCCCCCTTCCCCCCCAACCCTTCCTCTTTATTATCAGCTGTAAATTGGGTTTGGGGTGTAGAGTTCTGATAAGGATTACAGACTATGAGATGACCTTCAGAATGAGGAGCAAACATAATAAAGATCAAAACCAAAAAACAAAGCAGAATAAAAAACCCAGAAACAAACAAACAAAATCCCCCAGAAATCCATGACACAAAAAAGAACCTGGGAATTGACACCATGAAATGTCATAATGGCCCTGCATTGCCTACTTTCAGTTCTTTTACAAGAGAAAAAGAAATATAATTTTATTTCTCATAGATGTGTATGTTGGATTTTCTACCTCTTACTCCTAAATAATCCACAAATTTAGCTTAATATCAATTACATGGTGCTAAGTTAGTTTATGAATTATTTTTGTGTAGCTCTTTATTTTTTATTATAATCATTCATATGGAATTTTTTTGCTAAGGCAAAATCGAATTGTTGACAAGAATGTAATATGTATATTAGAATTTTTATCTCTACATTTTCTCAAGTGGAAGAAATGCAGCCAAAATTTACGTGAAAGGAAATGTGTTATAAATCAGAGTGAAGCTGGGGAAATGGCAGCATGAAATATTTTTAAAATTATCTCGCAGGTAAATCCAAAGCAAGGAAAGTACATTGCAGTTTTGTACTACAATGTAGTTCATCTACATTGAATCTAGAAAGAACTGTATGAAACCAAAACCTAGGATATTCTCTAAGCTATTCCAAAAGTTTGCATAACATTTTAGGACACATTTCCATTGGTTTTACCTGGAGTGAAAGATGTGTGTTTCCTCTGAACAAGTTGGGGAAAATTAGCGAAGGCTATCCAGACAAGGATGTTTTAGAAATGAAAGGCAACCCTGGAAAATAAATATGGGAATGGAGAGAAAAATCACGTGCTGATAATATTTTGGTGAAATCACTGCAAATTACCTTTGGCTTTGGGGCTTAGGGTTTGATCACAATCATCCTTGACTTTTTGAATGGGTTGTGGTCTGTGTGTTTAAAGGTGACTGATTTATAAAGGGTAGCCTCTGCAGCTGACTCTCTAGAGTTGTGATCTCGATAGGTGGTTGTGGAACTTTGTATCTTGTGTCCATTGAAGGTTGTTACTATGGCAGGTGGATGGCTTTGTATAGGATAACTGTCTGTGTGCATATGAGCATTTTTGGTGAGGGTCTTAGGTGATTTCTTGAGGAAGCACTCACAGACGGGACTCAGCATGTAGACTGCTTGCTGTGGAGTATTCTCAGGAACAACTGTAAAAGAGAGAAGGAGGCAGGTCAGGGTAAAGGGGGACATTGAACTGGAATGCGGTTGTCATGGTGACCTCAGAGAAGCTCACAGGAGCTCTGGATTTGAAATGGCCCTTCAGAAATATCCTAACATGAAGCAGTAAGACCAAATCTTCATACCATCGTTTAGGATATCCTTCTCAGAGAGGGGATATCCTTCCGGCAAGATAGGTCTGTTCTACTGGCGACAATGCTTGGAAAGGAACACAGGTATGAGTGGTTAAGAGCCAACACTCCTTGAAGCTGAGGAAATGATAATGTTTGTAATGAAGGGAGTATTTTGGTGGCTGCATATAGTATTTATTCTCTTTGGCTTGAGAAACTATACAGATTAAAAAAGGATTTTATATACAGATAACTTATGTGTACTTCTGAGGAAGTGTGGCTGTAAACAGTGTAAACAATGCTACAAACACAGGCCAGGAGGCAGAGAAAAACCTTAGAAAATGTGCATGATCTTTGAAATGTTGGAACCTATTGTTGTGACAATAGTGTCAATTCATCGCATTGTGGCACTTGCTCATTGTTGCTGACTCTACTTTACCAAACATGATATTCTTTTCTAGAAATTGATCTTTCCTGATGTTGTGTCCAGAGTAAGTAAGATGAAGTCTAGCCATTGCTGAATGCATGACAAAGAAGTTGAAGCCATATGGTGATGCAACTGGAAATTGAACAGTGAAAGACTCAAAGCCTTGCCCCTAAGCGTGGGAATAAGACCAGGATGTCTACTCAAATCACTTCTATTTAACACAGTGTTGATGTTTAATGATTTTGTGTGCTCGTCTTCGATCCTGAGACTTTGGTGGATTAATTCTACTAATTTTTTGCGTGAATTATTTAGGATTTTTCATATGCAGCATTGTGCCACCTGGAAGGAGAGATATTGTTGTTTCTTTCTTTCCATCTTAGATACCTATTTTATCCTTGCCCAATTCTGTACAACTTCCATTCCAATTCACAGAGACTCTACAGCACAGAGTAGAAATGCCCCTGCTTGGTAAAAAATTTGAACCACCAGCTTTTCCAAAGGAAAAAGATGAGTCTTTCTATGCCAGTAATGATAGACAGATTTATAGTCTTGAAAACCCAAAGGGGTAGTTTTCGTCAGTCTTATAGGGTTACTATGAGTTAGAATCAATTTGAGGGCTATCGGTTGTTGTTGTCTTTTAGAAAAAAACTGGGGACTGGGGAACACAGTGGGAATCCAGGCAAGAAAGTGCAGGGGCAGTAAAATATGTAATGTGGTTCTTCTAGCCAAAGTCTATAATGCCTACCAAATGCCTTTTCCTTGCAAGTGTCTGGTAAGAAGGTGGGTGAAGATACTGATAGGATTCATCTGTGAGTAACTGCAAATAGGATCCCCTGGGGTGCCATCCTACTGTATATAAAATGAACCCTCTGAGAAGTAGGAGGATGGATCTCAATACCAGTAAGAGCCAAGAGCTGAGTGCATCTTCTAGGTCCGAGATTCCTGATCAGTGAACCCCTCGGATCCAGATGACAGCTACAACATCAGTGGAGCAGCAGCAGAGCAGCCACAACCAGCGAGAGCAGGGAACAGAGCAATGGACTTCCCAATCCACAGAGCCAATAAAGCCGCATGTTTTTGTGGAAGAGGCTGGATTGAGGAGTGGAGTGCCTCTGGGCACTTAGTTGGTGAGTTTGGACTTGCTGATCTATTGAAGTTGAGCTGAGTGCTTTCTGTTTTAGGCTTACCAGAGCATGGAGCCTCTGGGCAACTAAGGATGGTGGGCACTTAAGGGAGCTGGGAGAGATGACCTCCACAGTCTCTGTTGAATGCTTTTGGTTTGAGGCTTATGGCAATGTGGGATGCCTTTTGGGTATTTAGCAGAGTTGGCAGAACTTAGTAACATATCCGGATATACAGATCAACCCTGAGCAATTCTCACTGGCATTACAACTTGTTAACTTTGATCATGATTTTTGTTGATAAGTTCTGACTAGCTATTGCAGTGGATTTTAAAACCCGGAGAAGTAAAATAGAGAAAACTAATTGAGATGTTACGGAAGTTAGGAAACGTCTGGAAAAATTCAGAATTATAGGGGAAATGAGAGGCTGACTAGGAAGCTTAGTGTCGTAGGAGGCATAGCTTTTCCCTGATACACAGTGTGGCTCAGCGAGAGATTGCCAAGTAGAAGGGACATTTTGTTGAAATCAGAGATTGTGTTCGAGGCTTGAAAGGCTGCAATTCTACCATCCAGTGAAATGCTGTGTCTGCTCCTTGTCTTGCTGGCAATTCTCTCCCAAGGTGGTGATGACGATAAGGCTGGTAAGAAGAAACCTGGCAGCTCACACCAGTGGAATGAGGAGGTTGGGGCAGAAGCTTGCTGTATTTGCTGATTCAGGCGCCGTTGGACACAAAAGCTTCGGTGCCCTCTCTTTCCAGCCTCTTCAATCATTTTGGAAATTGAGCTGGGTAACTGAGACCCTAGAATGGCAAATGTCTTGGGCTATATATGTTCTTCAGACTGAATTCTCCACCCTCCCCTCAAACGTCATCGTCTCTTATTTCTTTCTACTTCTTGTCTTCTCACCATTCTTTCACTGTGTGCAGATTTCCAGGGCCCGACCTACTTCTGCCTCATCCAGATAGCGTCCTTTGCCAACAGCACCTGGGCACAAAACCAAGGCTCAGGCTGGTTGGATGATGTGCAGATTCATGGCTGGGATAGCGACTCAGAAAATGCTACTTTCCTGAAGCCCGGCTCCAAAGGTAACTTTAGTGATCAGAAGGTGACTGCACTGGTGGACATATTTTGAGTCTGCTTATTGGATTTACTCAGCATGTACATCAGTCTGGCCGTGAATTCCAGGGGGAATGTGAGTCCTGGCAGGATTCTGAATTATGTTTTTCTGGTTCTCTGTTTGGCCGCCACTGCCATTGGTCCTTCTCTCCTGCCAGTTGGGTGTACCAACTGCTCGCAGACTTCTCCAGGGCAGTCTGCTACCACTGCCCCACGATTCCACATAAGATTTCAGAGACTTGCCACCTCCTGGTTAATTTTGCAATAGAAAAAGTCTTCTTATTTTTTTCTACTTATCCTCTTCTTTGTCTAATGTAGTGATTCTCAACCTTCCTAATGCCGCCACCCTTTAATATAGTTCCTCATGTTGTGGTGACCCCCAACCATAAAATTATTTTCATTGCTACTTCATAACTGTAATTTTGCTACTGTTATGAATTGTAATGTAAATATCTGATATGCAGGATGTATTTTCATTATTACAAATTGAACATAATTAAAGCATAGTGATTCATCACAAAAACGATCTGTAAGTATATATTGTGAAATATTTATTTCTAATTACAAAGAAATGAAATTTTTTCTGGAAGCATGGTGTAGCCTGGGTAACAGTCTTAACAGAACAACAGTAAACAAAATTGCTACATTTTGCAACAGTATGAGTAAAAAGCCAACTTCAGTGCGAAGGTTGAGATAGCTTCTTTCTCACCAGATCAGAAATTCTCAGGGCAATCTTTGCAAGAACACGACGAAGATCATCTTACACAACAGGTCTACTTCTGTATTCAGACTTGATAACCAACAAGCTGGAAAACCCTGTTTCACAAAGATATGTTGTTGGAAATGGAAGAAGATGCAACACAGTCTCAGACAGAACAGGATATGAATGCAAACACTTGATCCAGAATTTTGTAACTGGCATTGTAGAGAAATCAGTTCTCGCTGCATCACTGTTAATAAGTTCAATGAACTCCTCTGGTGCTGCCTCAGGAACATCTTCAGCTCTGACTGTGAACGGGCTTCTGGCAAGTGCAAATGGGTGTCAGGTAGATTTGGAAAGTACGATGACATTTCACCCACAAGCATGTGCAAGTGTTCTTTCACAGAAATTATCATCGTAATCCTTTTGTCTGGTTCAATGTCATGTTCCTCAAAGAAAGCAGATAATGTAGGCAACGTGTAAATTTTATTTTCATCCAATTTTTTTTGGCCAAAGCTGAAGTTTCATTTGGAATGATCGGATCTTTTCAGACAAATCGAGGCATGTTGCCTTTGGTCCTTGCAGTGATCAATGTAACTCATTCAAGATGGCAAAGACGTCAACCAAGTAAGCTATTTTCTGCAGTTCACTTTTATCGCTGAAAACTCCTTCGAACTGCGGTCTTGCTTTCAGTTTAAAAAATGTTTTGAGCTTATCACGAAGCTCAAAAACATGATTTAAAACTTTTCCTCTCGACAACCACCTCACTTCAGTGTGAAATCGCAGAGCATTATTTGTGCATCCAACTTGCTGCACAGTTGTGAAAATAGTCGACTGTTTAAAGTGCTTGCCTTTACAAAATTGACATAACTGATGATGCTTTTCATTACTTCTTGTAACTCTTGTGGCAGCGTCTTTGTTGCTAATATTTGTCGATGAGTCATACAGTGAGTTCTGATGACTTTTGGTGACTCATTCAGTACCAAGTGTTGAAATAAAAGAAACATCTTTAAAATCACCATCATTGATATACTTCATGTAAATCAGTAACTGAACAGTTTGCAATGTCTGTAGATTCATCAAGCTGGAAGTTAAATATTGGAAGTGGAACAGATTTAATTTCCTAGATTACCTGATCAAGAAGGGAGACGTTGGACAGGGCAAGATATGACAAAATAATAATTTATAAACTATCAGGGGCTCATGAGCGAAGGGGGAGCGGGGAGGGAGGGGAAAAAAAGAGGACCTGATGCCAAGGGCTTAAGTGGAGAGCAAATGTTTTGAGAATGATGAGGGAAATAAATTTACAAAATTGCTTGACACAATGGATGGATGTATGGATTGTGATAAGAGTTGTATGAGCCCCCAGTAAAATGATTATAAAAATACTAATAGTTTACTTTTGTATAGTGACAACATTTCCCAGGTGCGGTGCTATATGTTCTCAACAAAATATTTCTAAATGTTACCATGACTGGCAATCCAAGTCTTATGTTTCGTTTTTTCACACAGAGGATGTATTAGTCTGGGTATTTTAGAGAAACAAATCCACAGACACTCATGTATAAGAGAGAATTTTATACAAAGAGTAAGTGCACATCAACAAAACATCCCAACCCAGTGCTGC